TCATTCACTCATTTTAGTAATTTGTTCCCCTGTTTTAAAATTTAACATGCAACGCAGTGAAAACTATACACTATCAGTCAAAATGTTGGGGTTGGTATGATTTTGTAATGTTTTCTGCTCACCAAGGCTGCATTTATTTGATCAAAAATACAATAAAAACAGTAAAATTGTGAAATATTATTACAATTTCAAACAGCTGTTTTCTATGTGAATATGTGTTAAACTGTAATTTATTTCTGTGATGCGCAGCTGTATTTTCAGCATCATTACTCCAGTCTTCAGTGTCACATGATCTTCAGAAATCAGTATAATATTCTGCTCGAGAAACATTTCTGATTATTATCAATGTTGAAAACAGTTGTGCCGCACAATATTTCTGTGGAAACTGTCATACATTTCCATTCAAAAGTGTGGAGTAAGTTCGATTAAAAAAAGAAATTAATACTTTTATTCATCGAGGACGCATTAAATTGATCAAAAGTGACAGTAAAGACATTTATAATGTCGCAAAATATTTCTATTTCAAATAAATGCTTCATCTGTGAATCCTGAAAAATAAAACGATTACCATAATCATATATTGTGATATATACGTGATACTCTAATTAAGTACTGTAGAGAATACCATGGTAACGTTACTTACACCGAAAACATTATATTACCATGGCAACGTTACTTTTCGGAACTCTTACTAGTGACATATCTGTCAACAAACACATATTTAACTATAATTAATAAACGTGTCAAGCCTCGAAAACAACTGGTGACTACTATGACAAAATCACAATCATTAATTCTCAGTATAATACTGCATTCGCTTTGATTTTACTGCAGGAGTCACACACAAACAAATCTCTCTCTTACCTTCGAGAACTGAAACAACAATCAGCAGCTGCTCTGGTTTTGAAGCCATGTTTTCAACACACTCATGATGATCTCAGGACGAGCTTGATCTGTAGTTTGTCTTTAGCGCGTCTGTTGTGCTCGAATAACGACAGTTAACTGTCAGCCTGCGGCACTTCCGCCGGAAACAGCGGCGTGTTTGTGTGAGTGAGTGAGGCGTGCTCCCTCCGCAGGACGGATGAGCGCGTTACAAGTTTCGCATAAATTACAAATCTTTTGTCTTTTTATGGAAAATAAATAGATGAGGTAAGTCACCGAATGTTTTAATGACATATATTACATATAAATTATAGCTTAATGCTCTTAATGCTTGTACTTTTGTCATATTCAGCGGTTTGAATCGCTTAAATGAGCGTTACCATAACCGCCAAAACCGCCAAAGTAACGTACAGCTAACAGAAAATTTCCCGCTAAACAGTTTTTTGCGCGTTTACGGTATTCTCTGAAATATATTCTAGTACTAATTAAATAGCATGTGTTATGTATCTGGAAATCATTCAGTACCACATATTCACTCATTTATTTGTAAAGTACTATATTGACTGTTTTCACAGTAAAACAACACGACAGAAAGATTGTGCTGTTCAAGCAGATCGCGTATTAATTTATTGTGATTTAACAAAAATACGTTCTAAGAACGTTTAGCTAACCTTCCCTCATGAAAACTTTATTTTTAAATGCTTTCTAAACGAACAAAATGTCCAGTTTAAGTTCTTCTTGGTTATGCGAACGTTAAAGGAACATTCCATTTGATCATTTCCAGACGTTATGGGAACGTTACTTTCGAATGTTCTCTGAACGTAGTAGTAAAGTTGAAAAAAAAAGTTAGACGAACGAAGTATAGATAATGTTTTGTGAACATTATTAATAATTAGTATCTGATAATAAGTGAACGAATGTTCTATTAATGTTTATTTGTTTATAACTTTGTTCCAGAACCGGTAACACTTATAATAACTTTCATTAATAAATCATTAACACAGATCATTAGTTAATATATATTCACATAGCTTAATGTTAATGTTTATTAATGTACTTATTAAACATTACCTAATGATTAACAGGTCATTGTTTAATGTAAATTGAATTGCTTACAAATGTCTTTGGCACTTTTTACAAATCTACAAATGATTTTAACAGAAATTATACAATGTTTTATACTTTTTTTTGTTTAAAAAGTTTATTTGTTAATGTACTTTTGAATGCCAACAAATGTCATTAAAATTACCTAATGCTCTTTTTTACATTTACAAATGTTGTGAAAAAATAGCTTAATTAGTCATTTTAAGCACTTCACAAACTATTCATGTTAACATATTATATCCATTAACTCACATATATTTGGTCTTCGTTTGTTGTATAGACTTCTACGAGTTTCACATCTTAACAAATACTGCAGTAGTCCCAAACTAAAGTTGAGACTATTCATCAATTGTAAATATTTATAAATGTTTACTGATCATTGAGTACCTTTATGAGCATTGAACTTTTAGCTGCTGTAACAAAGTTTGTGTAAAGGGTGGTTAGTTACGTTTAGCTAAATGCTTGCTAAAGATATAACTCAGTTTGGGTGCAAAACGTGTTTTTATTGCATCAACACTTATATTAGTATGAGCTGTCAATCAATAAATTGGAAAAAAAAGTAACTTGCGTTACTTATTTGAAAAAGTAACTCAGATATGATCTTGTAAATTAAAAAGTAATGCGTTACTTTACTAGTTACTTGAAAAAAGTAATCTGATTACGTAGCTTGCGTTACTTGTAATGCGTTACCCACAACACTGTTAGTATACTACTGTGTATCATTGTTTGTTAATGATTTATTAATGAAAGTTATTATAACCTCACATTCAAATGGTTTTCCATACACAAACAACAATCAGCATGTAGAAAC